ACCTTCTTTGTTTTCTGTAGCTGCCAAGATGCAGTTTCTTCACTTGGGGAGAAACTTGAATGATTGGGGATGGATTCATAGTGAGTAGCAAACATTTCCACCTACGTTCCAGCTTCTCTGAGCTTCATCCTGAACTACTCGTTTGATTGTAGGGGTGCGTGTGGGGCAGTGGAAGTTCCAGATCAAATCCGAGATAAGGACGGATGGGTGGGGGTGTTCACAGAGGTGGCAAGTATGTGAAGCTCTGAGTCAGTGTAGACCCCAGAGGTTTTGGTCCTGAAGCTGGGGTTTCGGGATGGAACCAGAGCCTCCCCACATCTGTAATCTAAATCAAGTCAGCACATAAGAATTGTTTAAGGGCAGTGGTTATGTGGCATGGGCAGCTATCACACTGATTAAGAAACACTGTCCGTGTAGGGTCAACATTTTCAATTTCTGGATGCAGAAGGGAACCAGGTCTGTCAGGAAGTATAAGCGGTTGGCTAGCAATGCCCGCTCTTGGCCGGTACGTACCAACTCCTGGTGGATCCACTTGCACCTTCGTCTGTGGGCATAAATACAGTTTGATAGATCTTTAGACCAGTCCTCTTGATCCCACCGAAGGACCAGACCTTGGACTTTCCCCTGGACATTTCATGTTTTTAATTACAATACTTTCTTTCTAACTGTATTTCATATAAGAGTTCCTTAGAAAAGGCCTGAGTCCTAGGGTTTATTTTAAGTGTCACATGTGGAACTTTTTATTTGTTTAGTTTCCCACATCATCATCATCATCATCATCACCATCATCATTATTACTATACAAAGAAACCTTCACTGGATAGAAAGTAAAGTTTTAAGGAGCTACTTCAAGTTCTAAGTTTAGAATTCACATAACCAAAACCAAAATGGGTTGGGCTCCATGTTTTCTCAGAAAGCCAGGCTGTTTTTGTAAGGACTGTTGTTTGGAGACATGCTAACTTCTGAATGTTCACAGTGAGACACTACTCAGTACCTAAAATCAATCAATCTTTTGTTGCTGTATTTTAAGGTGCTGGTAGATCTTCTCTCTTGAACAAATATGCGTGTTTTTGCTGCATCCACACAACAGTCCTCCCTGCAAGGGTAGGTATGAAGATCCCATATTAGTGGTGTGGCTTAGGTAGATTCAACACTGGCTAACCAGTAGCAGGGTGAGACTTGAACCCAAAATAGAACTCCAAAGCCCTTTTTCTTTCCATGGGATTTGTTTATTTTTTTTTATTTTTATTTTTTATCTCCATGTGACTTGTATTTAAAGTCAATTTTTAAGTAAGAAATTTCCATTCTAGGCTCTTTACCCAAAATGGTCCATATCTCTGATTTGCAAATACTGATTGCAAAAATCCTGGAAATCTTTGATGCAGATCAATAGCCGTTATCAGTCAATTTAAAATTTAAATTCAGTGGTTTCAGTTCCAGAGGTCAAACCGTGACATTTGTGATACAGTTGTGCTCATCCACTCCCCATTGCCATAGAGTCAGATGCAAACTCATCACCGTGGCTTACAAGCTGTCAACAACCATCACCACGGCTCTGATTTCTGAGATACGGTCATGCTTTCTCTCACATCGGGCTCTTTACTGTTGCTGTCTCCCCACCTCCCTGCCCCCTCCAACAATTGTATGCACTGTGAGCCCAGCTCAGAAAGCATTTCTTCTAAGAAATCACTCCTGCCCTCCCTCAAATCTGGACTGTGCGCCCTTCTTTGGGCCCCGTCAGTGCCCTGTGCTGTTCAGTGTCTCTCACGCTAGACGTGGGCCACATGAGGTGGGGACGGTGCCCGTGTGGTTCACCAGTGTTTCTACACCACCTTTCCTGGGAGCTGACATTTTCAGGGATAATCTTTTCCATCGCAAATAACGTAAACCCAGAGAAACAGGTAATTTATTCTCTTACATAACTGAAAATTCCGGGAGGATCTGGTTTTAATGAAACCAAGTCCCCAGATGGTGTTGTCAGAGATCCGTCCCTCTCCCTATCTCAGCTCCTCTTTCCTCAGTTCTAACTCATGCTCAGGTAGTTGCTTCTCAGTCGATGGCAAAGGAGACACCAGGGGCTCCAGGTTTACATCCTACCCACTTGGCAAACCAGCAGAAAGAGAACATCCTTTCCAATGGCTGTAGCATGAATCCTGGGGCACACTCTCCTTGGCCCAGATGGGGTCAAATGCCCAACCCTAAGCCAGCCACGTGGCTTAGATTGGCCAGGCCTCGGTAATAGATGGAAAGCAATTTGTAGGTGGGGGAAGGCAGTAGGGTAATTAGACCCAGCCAGCCAGCATCTTGAGCCCTTTCAGGACCAAATGAGTGCCGAGGGTGGGGTGAGGCTGATGCTGGTCCTGAGCAGCTCCATTCATTTCCCCTGCTAGCCTGATTTTGAGAGCACCTGACCAGTCCAAGAGCGATTAGAATATTAGGCAGCCCCTGACCTCCCAAAGCTTCCTACAGGCCCTAGAATTAACCTTAGCGGGAAGAGGCCTGGCCCCTCCCTCAGCCTTGGAAGTGAGACCCCTTTGGGCTGCTTCACCTCCTGGTGCGTTGAAGGGAGATCCTAAATGAGTTGCTACTTTTCCATCAGGGGGTGAAGACCTTCCCAGGGACTCACTCCCACAGCTCTGTTTGTGGCTTCTACTTGGTAAGCCGTCATACGGTAGAAATTATAAGTAGCTCACTGGCTCCAGGTTCAGGACTTTTTTTAGCATATAAGTTAGTTTGTTAATTTGTTTGTTAGTTGGTTGTGGGGAAGATGTATGTGACCTGAGGATGAAAATGGGATCTGAGGGGGTGCTTTTTGCAGAGCTGTTTCCTGCCCAGCTTGGGCATCGGCTGCTCAGTGTCTCTGAGACATGAACAAATAGCTTGTTTACTTGCAGAGAAATGTGCTATCAGCCGGGGAAGAGGCAGGTTTTTTTTCTTCCTCTGACTAAATTATTTGAGTGTGGCATAAAAACGAAAGCACCCAAAGTAACAACAGAACAGTTTAACCAATCATACATATTTTTTTAATTAACTATTTATTTGTTTATTTCTTAGAGGTGAGGCAGGGCAGGGGGGAAAGGGGAGAGAAAGAATCTTAAGCTGGCTCCAGGCCCAGCAGAGAGCCCAACATGGGTCTCCATCTCACAGTCCTGAGATCATGACCTGAGCCGAAATCTAGAGTCGGACGCTCAACCAACTGAGCCACCCAGGCGCCCCCTCCCCCAATCATTTGTATTAAATATGAGTTTATTGCAGTGCTTTTCTCTCCATTTGGCATGTTCCCTCCTTGATCTGACCTGATCTGTCAAGACTGCGTTCAGCAGGGCACATGAAGAGAGCACACACTTTGGAAACAGGCCCCCTTGGATTCAGATCCTGGCACGTGGCAATTCCTAGTTGTAGTCCTGCAGCGCTAAGACAGAAGCTAGTAATGCCGATCTCCTTGGGTAAGCTGTTGAGTGTTACATGAAATGAGGATTGTAAAGTAGTGGAATTTAGAGGGCTGGGCCTCAGTAAACAGTGGTCATTATCATCCCCCCCCCCCCCCCCGCTTGGAAGGCCTCTGCGCCTGGAGGTCCCTGTGGCCTGGTCTGCCGGCAGGGGCCTCAAGTGAGAAGACTGGTGCCTGTGACATGCACCCAGGCATTCTCAAGGAAGATAGAACAGCCAGCGTTTGCAGGGGTATGTGGTTCTAGAGCTCATCGTTAGTAATGAGGATTTTAAGTTCACACTTCCTGGGCCTGGAGGCCACCCATGCCTGTGGGGTTGCTGGCAAGTTTTTCAGTCTTTTTTCATGTGAATTTCCATGTGAATGCATTTGGTTTTGCTGCTGGCAGAAGAGTACCCCAAGACTTTTAGCAGACGTTCTGTGATCTCTTGAGAGGGAAGGTGCTGTACAAATCACTCAAGCACACAAGAAGAGGAATCATGCCAAAACTGCTTTTGGGGAGAGAGAGACTCCAACAGTTATCATGTGGACTCAGTGATTTCCTAACCTCGTAATTTCCCGATTCACCCCAAGCACGGGCCCTTTGTGGTGTCAGCTCAGTGCCGTTGACCCACCCAGACGTGGTATGTGGTGGGACAGCCCTGGCTGCATTCCCAGGCACTGCTCCTGGCCCTCCAGGTTGTCAGTCTCCTCCCCTGAGGTGTGTTTTTCGGTTTATACTAATTTTTGCCTTTTAGTTCTGACTTGTGGCAGCTCGTCTTGAGGCCTGAATAACAGAAAGGATAACGTCACCCCCTCGGGAGACTGAGTCCAGGACAGGCGGGGAAATGAGTCTATGGCACAGGATTGCCTTGGGTTTCAGGAAGATGGGCTTGCCAGACCATGTGTTCTCTGTCCCACATCTGTTCCTTATGTTTTAAGTGTCATGGAGGACTCCAGCCCTCCCATCAATGTCCTGACAAATGGCAGAGTTTAAGAAGGGGTCTTCTTGCCTTTACACCTCTTATTTCTTTTTTTTCTTTTTCTTTTTTTTTTTTTACACCTCTTATTTCTTAATGAAGTTAGTCTTGGAGTTAAGAGTGTTCAAGAACCTAGTTTCAAAGTGACTCTTTCTTGGTACCCTTCACAGAGAAATGCTTCTCAGAGAGTGTCAAGTCTGATTTGTGCCTGAAAAGATCTTTGTTTTTAAGTAGTACTTAGTCCCGGGTCGGAAGGCTGTCTGCTGGGTTTAGGAATGCAGATGGTGCCTGACCCTGAGGATGGGTCAGTTACTGAGCAAGCAGCCCCCACTGGGCTGAGGTCAGAGGAATTCTGTCCAGCCAGCAGGATTGGGCTCCATCAACCAGCTGGCCCTCTAGGAATCACATGTTGAATAACAGTCCTTTAGAGTAACTTCCTGGGGCTCCTCATCTTCTCGCGCTGAGTGGGTCTCCTGGTACTGGGGCTCCGGGGGGGGGGTGGGGGCGGGCAACTGCACATTCGGGTTTTCCCATCGCATGACAACTCTGAGTACGTGCTGCAGTTGGCCACAGTGTGTTGTTTCTCTTTCCAGCATCCCAGTGCAACATCAGCTTAAAGAAGCCGAGGAGTCGAGGCATCCTTAGCTCCTTCTTCTGCTGCTTCCGGGACTACAATGTGGAGGCCCCGCCCACCAGCAGCCCCAGTGTGCTTCCGCCACTGGTGGAGGAGAACGGTGGGCTTCAGAAGGTCAGTGCCGGGGAGGAGCTGTGCCCTCAGCAGAGCAGCTGTGCACTCAGCAGAGCCTCAGTAGCTGCGTATCTGTCCTGTCCTTCTAGAATATCCTGAATAAGGGGTCTGTAATAGCTATGTGTACAGCCATTAACTTAAAGATCTGAAATGACCAAAAAGGTCATCTTCGTCGGAGGATATCTCAGTCATTCCCGTTTAGCGACTGAAGCACATAGATGATGAGAGTTCTAAGAATCACTTCGCTTTTTTATAACATTCTGTCTTGGGAAGTTGGCTGCATGAAGCGGAAAGCTGAAGAACCAGTAGCAGAGAAAGACATGCAAAGACAAACGGAGAAACAGAGGCATGCCAAAGAACCAATAATAAGTATAAATGGGTTTAACTACCTCGTTTAATAACAAACATATTTGTCATATATTATTCTTTTATATCCATCAGATACAAAGTTTTAAGTCATTTTCACAATACGTTAAAAAAAAAAGCAAAAAACTAAACTCTACCCACATGCTGTTTAACAGACATATCCTAAGCAAAGTGATTCAAAACAGCTAAAAGTAAAAGGATGAGCAAGAAGATGTCACACAAGTATATAAACAAAAAGAAAGCAGGGATTGCTACATTCATTTTATTCATTCTACCTGAAACATAATTTCAGGTAACAATCACTGAAAGGCTGAGAGGATTATTCACTGTGAAGATAGTTGAGATTGAGGACGCAAAAACCATAGAACTTTGTTCCAGATGGTGTGAGCAACGGACCTGAGCAAGCATTTCACAAAATAAGAAATACAGTTGGCCAATAAACATGAAAACATGTTCATGTTCAGTATGATTAGTAATCAAAGAGATGCAAACTAAAACAGTGACATATATCTATCAAATTATCAAAGATATTTATAAAGATAATAGGTGGATTTGGATGAGGGTAGCCGCAGAGAGGGTAGAAGATGTAAATGGGTTATTGGTAGCCATTTAATTGGTTACACCTTTCTGGAGGGAAATTTGACAATGTAATCTCAAAACCTTAGCAATTATTTATTGACATAGTTATAGATGTGCAAGGATTGAACTATGGGATACTGTCCAGCATAGACTATAATATTGCAAAAGTGTAAGCAACCTGATGATCAACAACAGACAATAAAAAACCCATAGAATAACCATGCAATCAAATAGTGTGCAGCAATTAAAAATGTCTCAGAAATATTGCTGACATAAGAAAATGTTCACCATATGTCACTTAGGGGATAAAAAACTTGTAGGTGAGTATATTTATATTAGCGGATAAAATGTAGTAGGTGAGTATATTTACAAGTATACATGTAGTCATACACACACACACACACACACACACACAAGACTAGAATGATATATGCTAAAATATGAAGAGATTATCTCAGACAGATGGGATTATATATAGAATTTTCTCCCCTCTTCTGTGCATTACTTCTTTCTCTTTTTTTCTTTTTGCTTTTCCCAGTTTTCACAAAATAAGCTTAAATTACTTTTGGGATTAGAAAATAAATTACTTTAAAAGTATATGAATGTAAGAAAAAGGATTCTGGGAAGGTGACAATCTGAGCACATGGCTCTGACCATTTAAATTCTCTTTCTGGATAAACCCAGGTGAACCTGCTGGTAGAACCTGGAAAGTGCATTAAGGCCTCTGTAGTTTTCCTGACATCACCAAGGGAAAGATCAGGCACAGGTTTCATCCTCTCTGGTACTCAGTGAGAAGCAGGGAACTACCAACAGAGCAAAATGCTTGCTTGTCTTGGAGTCCTAGGACAGAGACTTGAAGCAGATAGTCCTATGAGGTCCCCCAGCCAGCAAGAGCTGTGGATTCCCTTGGAAAGGGCCTACACTGCCCACTTATTGTGTGTGGTCCTTGGAGGGGCTATACTGATGAGTTGAGTTGCTTTCACTTCATGTGCCCTAAAGGAGCCCATCACTACAGGGACTTTCTTCATGTCCTTGTGGTTTGTCAATTTGGGCTCTGCTGGACCATGAAAACATTGCTCCTTGTGGGGCCTGGCTATGCTCCCTCATTTGCCACTGCTGAGAAGGTCCAAGTTGAAAAACTAGAATATGAGGCTCCCACTGAGGTAGAACTAATGAAAGAGGTGGAAGAGAACTTTTTTTTTTTAAGATTCTATTTATTTGAGAGAGAGACAGAGAGAGCACAAGCAGGGGGAGGGGGAGGGGACGAGGGAGAAACAGACTCCCTGCCGAATGTGGAGCCTGACACAGCTTGATCCCAGGACCCAGAGATCATGACCTGAGCCGAAGTCAGATGCCCAACCAAATGAGCCACCCAGGCACCCTGAAGAGAATTTAGTAGACAACTCAGGAAATGATATTTCAAGAAAGGAATTTTGAGTACAGAAGTAACTTTTAGAATTTAAAAAAGAAATCCCATGATTTCTAAATAAAAAAATTCAGTAAACTAACTGAGAAAAAGGAGACTGAGGATGGTCACTGCTGGGAACTGAATTAATGTTCTAGAAGAGCAAGTGGAAAAAATATCTTACCGTTCAGACCAGAGACAAGAGATGATAATTGTGAGGGGGGCAGGAAGAGGCATCTAGGAGACCTAACAGCAAGTAATAGAGTTCCAGAAAGAGAAAACGGTGATAGAAGAAATTTTTCTTGAGTTGAAAAAAAATCTCAAATGTGTAGAGATTACAAGGGCTTGCCAAGTCTGCAGCAGGATGAGGGCGGCAGGTGGAGGAGCACATGCCTAGATATATGCTGTTGAAATTCTGAAATTTAAGTGTAAAGAGAAAATCTTGCAAGCTACCAGAACAAGATATTTTCCAAAAGAAAGAGAATTATTCTAGTACCAGACTTTTCATCAACAATATTGAAAGCCAGAAGACTATGAAAGAAAAATTTATAGGCTACTGAGAGAGAATTCCAAACCAAAAATTCTATATGTGGCCAAGATATCATTTATTAAGGCAAAGGAAGTACATTTTCAGACATGTAATGATTCAGAGAGGGGACAAAAAAAAATCTGGGTGAGATTGATATTCTGTTATGATATAATTATAGAAGATGTAGGAATAAATACAATTATTAGGAATAGAACCGTAACAAGCAGCACAATTAGAAAATAGATCCTCAATAGAGCCCCATGTCAGGCTCTGTGCAGAGCATGGAGCCTGCTTGGTATTCTCTCTCTCCCTCTCCCTCTGCCTCTCCCCCTGCTCTCTCTCTCTCTCTCTCTCTCTCACACACACACACAAATAAATAAATCTTAAAAAAAAAAGAAAGAAAATAGATCCTCAAAATTCACAAGGAGTGAAAGGAGAAACGGGCAGAAATGTGAACAAACTATCAAAATTAAGAAAAGGAAAAAAAGAACAAACAACATAAACAGTAAACCGAACATAAAGAGTAGGCATGAAACCAAGTTCAATGAACCAAATTCTCCTAACAAAAGACCAAGACTATATCAGATTGGCTTGACAAATTCATCTGTGTGCTGTTTCCAAGAATAGACCTGTATCAGATAGGAACGATTTTGGCAGCAAGTAAAAGAAAACTGACAAATAATAGCTTAAACAAATAGGGGATTATTTTTTTTCACATAAAAGGCCTGAGTCTGGCAGTTGATGAGGTTAGTTTAGGGGCCTGATGATGCCATGAGGGACCCAGGTTCTTTCTGTTCTTCTGTCTCTCCATTTTTCCGTTCCACCATCCTTGGCTTGTTTGCCTTCATCCTCATGCTTGTTATTATCTCAGAGTCACAATCTTCAGACAGCATATCCACATTCAAGGGAAGAAGAGAGGGAGGATCAGCACTACCCATGCCTGTCCCTCTTGTGGAAAGTAAATGCTTTCACAGAAAACCCCAGGGGACTTCTACGTATGTTGATTGGCCAGAACTTTGTCACATGGCTACCCTCCAGCCACAAGGGAGGCCCGAAAAGGGAAGAATTTAGACTGGCGTATTCCTGCCCTCAACAGAATCAGAGCTCTTTCACAAAGGAGAAAGGAGGAATGACTGCTGAGTTGACATACTAGGCAGTGTGGGCTCATTATGCTGTAGTAACAACCCCCATACCTCAGAGGCTTAAAACAATAAAAGTGTATTTTTCACTCATGCTACATGTGTATTATGGATTAGGTGGGCTCTCTGCTCTGTGGCATTTGTCCAGTAGATAGAGAATGTGAGCCACATATGTTGTTTACATTTTTCTAGTAGCCTCATTTTGAAACTATTTTTTAAAAAGGTGAAATTGAGTTTAATAATATATTTTATTTAACCAAAGATATCCAAAATATTATTTCAATGTGTAATCAATAGAAAAAAAAATTATCAATGAGATAAAACTTATATTCTTTTTATCTTACTAATTCTTCAAAATCTGATGTATATTTTATACTTAGAGCACATCTTCCTTTGTACTAGCTACCTTGCACAGGCTCAGTAGCCACCTGTGACCTGTAGCTACCATTATCAGACTATATCCTCATTCATGGACTAGACTGAGGAAGGCCCATCTCTTTGCTTTTGTCATTGTCACAGCAGGGAAAAGGGAATGTGGTGAATCACACTGGCTCTTAAAGTTTTCACTCAAAAGTAACCTACATCTTATTGGCCAAAGCAATTCACATGACTATACCTAACTTCAGGGAGCATGGCAGTGCAATCCTACCATGTGCCCAGAAAGAAAACTGGAATTATTTGGATAACAGTTCTAATTACTGCTACAGTAGGTGGCTACTAGTTTCTGACATCTAAATACACAGTGATTTTAAGAAGGTGGAAAATAGATGGGCAAAATGCAAAAAGCAGATCAAATAAAAAGAAAGCAAAGGTGACAATATTAATATCAGACAAAACAAAATTCAAGGTCAGAAGCATTAAACAGTAGAAAGAGGGACATTTTCTCATGATAATAGGTCTGATGAAGTGTGTAATTGCCATAAACCTTTGTATACTAATCAACAGTACAGACAAATATATAGAAGAAAAGCAGATCAAATAGAAAGCAAAGGTGGCAATATTAATATCAGACAAAACAAAATTCAAGGTCAAAAACATTAAACAGTAGAAAGAGGGTCATTTTCTCATGATAATAGGTCTGATGAAGTGTGTAATTGCCATAAACCTTTGTATACTAATCAACAGTACAGACAAATATATAGAAGAAAACCATTTAAACATGATAAAAAACTATCTTCTAAAAGTATGGGGCACCTGGGTGGCTCATTCGGTGGAGTGTGCGATTCTTGATCTTGGGGTTGTAGGTTTGAGCCTCATGTTGGAGGTAGAGATTACTTAAAAATAAAATCATTAAGGGGCACTTGGGTGGCTCAGTCAGTTGGGTGTCTGCTTTTGGCTCAGGTCATGATCCCAAGGTCCTGGGATCGAGCCCCACGTCAGTCTCCCTGTTCAGGGGGAGCCTGCTTCTCCCTCTCCCGCTCCCCTTGCTGGGCTCTCTCTCTCTCTCTCTCTCTCTCTCAAATAAATAAATAAAGTCTTTACAAAAAGTCTTTAAAAAATAAATACAGCAAACAACATAGGAAAATCTTTGGTAGTTTCTGGCTAATGCAATAAGACAAGAAAATGAAACACTTGGTGTAAATATAAAAAAGATTGGAAATTAGTTTTGTTTGCACATGACATGATTATTTACATAGAAAACCCAAATACTTCAAAAATAGAATCATTAAAAGGTTTTGCTATGGTAGCTCTTATTTATGGAGAAATATGCCGTGTTTCTAGATAAGATTTAAAATTTATATAGAAGAAATAATATCTAAGGATAGGTGAGAAAATTTGGGGGAAAAATAATGAAAGATGACTTGCCTTAACAGATGAAGGCTTACTGTACGCTGGTATAGAAAAATATATTAGTGGAATTTACATGATGAGACTCTATTGTAAACCCTCAGCCCCAAATTCTGATGTGTTCCCCCAGTGAGCTTTCCTCATACTCTCCCTCCTCCAATTTAAAAATCATTTTAGAGAATCTTTTGAGAATCGCCATTAGCAAAAGGACCATAATTGGTACCCTAGGTGTGTAGAGGATAAAAGAGATGAATCACTGCTGTCATAGTAAAAGTTTTATTTGAAATTAGTATTTGCCAGGGTGACTGCCTGGCTCACTCAGTAGAACGTGTGACTCTAACCTTGGGGTTGTGAGTTTAAGCCCCACGTTGGGTGTAGAGGTTACTTAAAAATAAAATCTTTTAAAAAATAGAAGTAGTATTTGCCTGGATGAAATGCCGTGAGACAATGTTGGTACACCCCTGACAGGTTTCCTGGAGTGGCTGGCTGTGTTTATGAGAGAATAAAGGCCTTTGAAGGCAGTTCCTCTGGAGCTGAGCTGGACTCAGTGTTCATTAGTAGACTTCCTTCACTTAACATTTATCAAAATAGCTTTTTAAAGAATTAATTAACTCTGAGTAATGAATCATTTGCATTAACACTTGACTATTCAGTCTGTAAGACCAGACCCCACGGAAAGAACCAGGGTCAAAGTGGGGCAGCTAAGGCCTAGAGGAGGACCCTCCGCCCTCCCTCGAACTGAGCTTGGTCAGGACACCTGGAACACAGAGCCCAGGCCCATAAGTTGTGGAACCAGATTCTAGGCCCATCTCTACTGCTGGCCTCCAGCTCTCCCTGCCTCTTGGAACTCAACAGGCCAGAGGCAGAGGGAAGGCTGTGGGCAGAATGCAATGGGTGGCAGCTAGGGTTCTATCCACCCTACACATTCACTTTACCCTGGAGAAATGCTTCCACAGCAGTGGCCTAGAGTGGCACCTGTTGCCACCATCACGGTTACAACCTGGACCTGCAGGCCAGTTGCCCAAAATAAACGGATCCAAGGCCCTGGCCAGAGGCAAGAAGCCAGCACCCAGAAGACCCCAATGGCCAGGACCTTGGAGGACTTTCTCAGGGAGAGGGCAGAGTAAAGGGATTGCTGGGCACTCACTAATGCATGCATACCCCATGCACACACACACACATGCATGCAAACTTCCAGGGTAATTTTCCAGCCCAAATATCTGGCCAGAGTAGCGTCTTTGGTCTTAGCCTGTGTTTTGCCAAGCTCTTGGGATGTTTGTTACTGTTACCTCTTCCTTCACTGATGTGCTCCTCTTGTCTGAAGATGCACCTGTGTGGAGGGGCTGTTTGCAGCCTCCCACTAGTGCAGTGGTTCTCACTTGCAGATGATTTTGCCCCCCCCCCAGGGCACACTTGACAATGTCTGGAGACATTTTCGATTGTCACTACTGGGCATTGTACTGGCATCCATTGGGTAGAGGCCAGGGATGCTGTCGAGCATCCTACAATCCTCAGGACAGCCCCCACAGCAAAGAGTTGTCAGGCCCAGAACGTTGGTAGCTCCGGGGTTGAGAAACCCTACTCTGTAGTGGCCCAATGGGCTTGTGAGCTTCTGGTCAAAGTCTCCCCACCAAGAGCAGTGACCTGCTCCTAGGTCCGGGTGTTGGGAGTAATATTACCTAAGAGCTTCGGAAATGAACTTCTCTGCAGAAGTTCTTAAAAACTGGGATTGGATTTGATTGTGCCGTCATATTGGAGAGCAGCACAGCCCTGCCTTGAATAATGGCAGAAGGCAGTTCGGAATCCTTAAGACAAGCCCCAAGTGTCCTGAAAAAGGAAAGAGCATCAAGACGATCTCGAGAGGGAAGAGTAGTTGCTGTTATACTGCAGAGGTGGTAACTAGGGCTGCAGATAATCAAGAAGCTGCTAAATGATGCTTGGAGGCAGAGCAGAGCTCAAAAAGGTACCAGCCACCTGCCTCTGTCAACAGTCAGGTTTGACCCCTTCCCATGAGAGCCTTGTCACCAGTGACCCCCTCAGTAAAGATGGATATACTGTTCACAGATCCTTCTGTGTGGGAGACTGGAAACAGTTCCTCATCAGGAACTATGATGCTGCTATTCATTGTCTCCCATCGAACCATCTAAAAAAGAAGAAACACAGAAACTGGAAATGCTCAGTAGAGATAATGGAGAGAATGTGTTATTTTATTAGCATTTCATAATGATGCCAAAATGAAATGTTTCCATCAACCAGGTTTGGAATGGCTGGCGTTCCGAGGCTGAGGAATGGGTGAGGCCCCACCCTGGGGCCTGAATTTTCTTAACATTCCCTGTGAGTACAGGTTCTGTCCCCCTTAAAGGGAACGCTGTCTCCACGTCTGTGGCCTCAGGGGGAACCTCTTGAGCCTTGCCTTGTCCCCTCTTCCCAGTCCTCCTCTAGAAGAAAACCAGGAGAGGCCAGGGTGTGCCTTGTAACCTGATAACTGGTCTTCCTTTCCCTGCATATTGTACTGACTTAAGGCTTAGTCTTTTTAGGGAAAAACTTACTTAAAAGAAGAAATAAGCCAGCTATTAGAGGGATTAATGGATCAAAGTAATATATGGGTTTTTTGTTTTTATTTTTCAATTAAGGATTAAATTCCTGGGAGTAAGGGAGGCACCATTAAATAAACAAGATTAATGAGCCTCAGGAACCCAGCCTGGTTTGTCAGCAGAGGGAGTGTCTGGGAGGCAGAGTGGAGCCCAGTGCCCTAACTGGAAAATCTTTGGGTTCCTCCTGTTCATTAAATACCACTAAGGTATAGAGAACAGGAAATCAAAGGGCTGCTGAACTCAAGAGTGCTTTGAAGTTTCTTTGGAGTATATGATCTACTTACTTCTCTTCAAACCTGACAATGATTTCTTTTTTCTTTTTCCTTAGGGTGACCAGAGGCAGGTCATTCCCATACCGAGTGTATGTATATTTATCCAATTTTATTTAAACATTCATAGACTTTTGTAGCTTTGGGCCTACTGACATAAAAGATTTTTTTTAACGTTCTTGCGTATGTTGAGTTTAGCATGTGGTATAAACAGCTCTGTTCTGTTAAAAAATGAAGCTACATTTTAAACTGTGAGCAGGAGGTTCTGTACAGGGAGAGTTTCCTTTCTCAGGAACAGCAGGGCAACCAGCATCTATTAACCAAATTCTCACCTTTCCTTTCTTTCTGCACAGGGCCTCCAAGCTAATAAGCTAAGGCAGCCTGCTGCACTTCCCCACCCCAGCATCTCAGCCCCAGCTCCATAGACCAGGAGAACATACGTTGGCCCAGACATAGGTTCTGTCCCAGTGGGCTCACCAAGCCCATGGCCCTGATGACCAGACCACTTCTGACTTACTCAGCAGTGTTGGTAGCTTGGCCCTGGCTCTGAGATCAGAAAAAAATCTCCCCAGTTGTATTCCCTGAACTTGCGGGACTCACCCCCGCTCTTACAGGCTGGCTTTGCTCTAACCCTGTTCCAGCCGGGCACTCCCTTGGGCCACCACTTCTCTTTTCAGCCCTGAAATTTGGGAGAGTAGCTGCACCAGTGTTCAGTGTCAGCACAGGCCAACCCCCTCCCCCAGACATCAGCTGTCCCCACTGCTCCTGCTGTGATGGCAGAGCCGCTTAGCCCGAGGCCAGACAAGATACAGACCAGGGACTGACGCTCCAAGGAAGCTGGCGCCTGGGTGGCTCAGCCGTTAGGCGTCTGCCTTCGGCTCAGATTGTAGTCCCAGGCTCCTGGGATCGAGCCCGAGCCCTGCATCGGGCTACCTGCTCCGCGGGAAGCCTGTTTCTCCCTCTCCCACTCCCCCTGCTTGTGTTCCTTCTCTCGCTGTCTCTCTCTCTCTCTGTCAAATAAATAAATAAAATCTTAAAAAAAAACTGGCACTTGAGCTGTCCTTATCAAACAAGACCATTTAAACAGCCCTGTGTCCTTAGAGAAGAGTTTAGGTTTTAAAAAGATGTCCATAAATTGATACTTTAATCCATAAAGAATCTCTGATTCAAGTTGTTTGACTCAAATCTGTTCATCTAACTTTCCTTGGACTTTTTCACCTATTTTCTGGGAACATCCAAGAGACACAGCAATCTTACACTGGAAGGAATGGATTTCATTAGTACAGGTTGACTCCATATTTGGTAGTGAGTGTCACTTAAAAATTGTAATACATTGCCCCGATTTTTTGATAATTTCATTTTTCTCAGGACTTTAACTCTCCATTAACGAGTTTCAAGGGTTTGTGGAGTGGTTCTGACTTCTCTAGCATGCCTGGAGGTTGGGCTTTGTCAGGAAAACTGACTTTAATCCAAAAAATGGATCAAGCAGAACTTTTTATCCAGTGTTTGAGTGGGATACCCGGTAGGATTGATACCAGAGGTGTCCTTTTAACCTTTATACAGAGTAGTTTCATACATTTTTCCTGCAAAGTTACCTATGTTAAACAGGTGACAGGTAGCAGCTTTCCCCTTCCCTGTGATATTCCCATAGCACGGGTTTTTCTCAAAGTTCATTAAGTGCCGAACAAAGAGCATTGTCAGGGTAGAACTCTACCGAAGAAAATGACCCTTTCCCCAGAAATCTCAACACATTCTAGAATCCCAGAATGAAATAGCCAAGGGGGAAAGATCCCTTGTATAATTTAGTGCAGTGTTAGATCAATAAACTGCTGACTCCTTCCTACAAATGAGTCTCTAGGTCAGGCCTTGTGAGTCTCTGAAATATGTTGCAAAAAAACAAAGCCTAGCTAAAGTAACTTGCATCATTGTATAATATCCTCCAGAAAAGTAGATCTACTGATGGGCTCGGTGTGATTTCCACTGCCTGCTTAGCATGCGCAGCTGAACCCAAGTCCATCTGAAGGCCAGCTTAGCCCCAGGATTCGAGCCCTGGGATCCCCTGCAGAATCTGTACTCACCTGTCAAGATTGCAGGTCACATTAACAGAGTAGCCCTGCCCTTTCTGGATCACAGGGGACCTGGTCAGGGAGCCTGTGTGAGCTTGGAGTCCTGTACCATAGGAAATGCGAAAATCCAGGCTTGTGCTAATCCCAAACCAGAGCCTATAGACTCCTGAAAGCTGTTCCAGTCCCTGAAGGTGAAAGGTGCCCCCAAGCCTGTGGGTACCCAGACTAGTTCCAGCTGGAGCCCCCCCATCTCTGCTTCCCACCATAGCCGTCTTGTTTCATTTTCATGCTACTCTGTTTATATGTGCAGCTTCGGTCTTTTGATTTTTTACTAAGCAGTAATTCAAGCTCATAGTTTTAAAAAATACTGAAGAAATAAAGTAGAAAGAAAAAAAAAATTCCCAACATGGTCCCACTCCCTGGAATAACCACTTTCAATATTCTGTATCCTTCCAGAAATCTAAATAAACACAACCATATTTACATAAATGAGAATTTTGCAAGATGTTTTTTGCTTTAAACAATATACGTTGAACCTCTTTCCAAATATTAGTGCATAGTGAGTGATCTACCTCTTTCTTTCACGTGTCCTTGATGGCATTTATTTTGTTTCTCCTTCTGGGTTATTACAAATACTTAGGAATATTCCTGTGCACGTATGTTTATGGACTTGGGTTATAGCATCTGTTGTGATCCTTTCCTAATTGTTGAAGTGCTAGATCAAAGGATATAGCTTACATTCTGGGTAGATTAAAGCCAAATTGTCCTCTGAAAGCCTAATTTATGTTCCCGCCAGGAGTGTGTGGGATTGCCCATTCCCTTACCAAAAATGATGATAATCAAATATTTAATCTTTGCTGATCTCTAAGTAAAGAATGGTATATCAATTCATTGCTTTGATTTGCATTTCTTTATGAATGAGGATGAACATCCTTTCATAAGTTTATTATTTATATGTCTTCTTCCCTATTCATTTCTTCTGGATGTTCTACTGTGTTATCTTTTTCAATTTCAAGGAAATTAGGACTTTTCCCCCAAATCTATGGTATATCTTTTGGCCTTGGTTATAATCATTTTGGCCACAAAGAAGTTTAATTTTATATAGGCAAATGTGTTAATCTTATCCTTTATGGCTCCTGAATTTTATGTCATGCTCTTAGAAAGATCTCCCCACCCTATGACTGTGAGCCATATTTTCTCCTAGTATTTAATGGTTTTATCTCTACACTTAAATCTGTGACCCATCTGGAATTTATGTTAATGTAAGGCATGAAGTAGTGATCCAGCTTTATTTTCTTTTCCAAGTAGCAGGGCAGTTGTCTCAACACCATTTATTGATTAATTCGGCTTTTATACCCCTCTTGAAAGTGACATCTTTATCTGGACTTGACATTAAACATACCACTCAGCAACACTGGCCTCCCAACCATAGGCTGGGATTTGGGGCCCTCCACACATCTTACTGGAAGCCTCATGGGCTGCCCAGTAAAAGTCAGATGTTGAAGGGTAAAGAAAAGAAGCAGAGGGACAGGTTTAGAACCCCCCAAGATTGGGTGGTCATGGCTGAAGGCGAGCACTCAAATGCTCTGGCCCCGGCAAGGAATGCCACTGGGGCTGTGAGCCAACTCCTCCCATGCCCTCTCTTCATGAATCACTCCATCCTGACGCTCACCACACGTGGTTGCAGTGCAGCTGAGCCATAAAAGTGCTGAAAGGGGAGAAGAGAAATGCATTTTCTAACAGGTGTCTATGATGTTTGCCTAAGCCTTTTAATAAACAGTAGTGTACTTTTTTCCACCAAACCTTATGAAGGAACCCATCAGCAGAAACAATGATTGTAAAAAAAAAAAAAGAAAGAAAGAAAGAAACAACGATTGTAATTAAAGGTGGTCTAGAGTTTTCTTTGTCCCCTCCCGCAGAAGCCCTGAGATCTCTGCCCTCAGCTCTGTGGCTTGGGGAGCCTAGAGTGCAGACTCTGAGCCTGAGGACTCTTACATACAAAACCCCAGTCTGATGTGCCAAGAAGCGAGTGAGTAGGGTGGGTACTCTAAAGAACCTTAGAGGTTAACTGTTCATGGCTGCCAGTTCACTACCAAGGATGGGAAATTCCAAACCTACTCCCAGGAAGAAAACTGGAATGAATGCCCTTCCGAAACCTTGGGTGGCAAGCCGAGGTTCCTTCCTCCCCCCTCCCCGCCCACATGGTTTTGCCCCCTATCCCCACCCCTTCCATCCCCCTGGCAGTGCCCTCCATGTGCTTTGGAGCAAGAGGTTTGTGTAGAAAAGGCTCTTCTTGATACAACTGGTGTTCCTCTTGTTCTCCAGTTCTATGATGGCCTGAGAGGAAATTTGCCTCAGGGCATTTTTAGTTAATAATTCAAGCATCACCTGAACAGATCCATTGAAGTAACAAAGCACTGTTGCAATTATATAGCGTCCTTGCATGTTCCAAGGACACAGCTGTCCAGAAGAATTCTTACCAGTGGTCTGAAGAATTTGCATTAACCTAAAGCCAAGCTCTCAGAGAAGCTGTGTGCACTTAGGAAGCGGGCTGAGGATTAATGGAACCTCCTTGCCCACTGCCCCCAGCCCGGCCTTGTCCTCTGCAGCACAAATGCTAGATCAGTAGCTTGCTTAAGAGGAGTCTTACCCTTCTCCCTCTTTTCTCTCTTCCAGTAGTATTGTGAGGCCTCTTCCATACTGTCAGCTCAGAGAATGCTTGCAAAGTGTGGGTTAAATATGCTAAGAAAGTAATTTTTATTCTCAGGTTTGGAAAATAACTGAGCCACTTTTGGCAGATCTTTGATGTTTTCAGATCTGCTAGGGATAGAATTTCTAGAGCCTTATTTTCCAGGCTAGCAATTACATAAAGTGAAACTGTTGTTTAGTACATAAATGCATTGAGAAAGGAGTGGACAGATACACACTGAACTAAAATGAGGGGTATCTGGGGAGAGGAATGGGGCACAGGGAAAAGGGAATGGTTGTCTGCTACATGTCTATATTCTTTACAATGAGAATGTGTTCTTGTTACATAATTGTGTAATAAAAGATTAAAACAAATTTTATTCTAGTCACAGGCATGCTTTCTGCTATGGCCCAAACAACAGAAAATAACTCAGATCCTCTTTATTATGTTCACTCACAGAGCTCATCATACCCTGCCTTTTTAAAACACTTTTACAGGACTTCTTGCAAGTTTAGTTTTTCCAGCCACCTGCTTGCTTGTTGATTTATAATGAAGGACAGAGTCCTTTCTAGGACCCCAAATCCCATGCACCGTGTCTAAGGCACATCTCCTCCCAGGCCACTTGCAGTTGCTGGGTGAGAATATACTGCTTGGTGAACTTTAACTAGAGCCAAGGGAGTTGGAGGCCATGAAGCCTTTTTCTTCTGGACGACGCTGGACAGGAGGAAACACCCACACTCACTGGAGAGAGCCCCTGTGAAATTAGAATCACCACACGCAGCCTCATCCCATCAGCCCAGACAAGATGATCATCACACTTGCAAATTTACCTACCCTGTCAACTTCCTGTGTTACACTCACTGTTGAACCAGCAAAGTCCAGAATTAACTCTGGATCCTTGACTCCTGTTCACTTTAACCTCCCCCCAACCACCAGAAAAAGGAAATACCCATTTAAAAGGGAATACCTCTTGATTTCTTTTTTCTTTTTCTTGTTTTTTGTTTTTGGGGTTTGTTTGTTTTAGCAAGCTAAATTGTCTGTTCTTCAGTGGCTAGGGACACATTTTTTGTGTGTTTTGTTTTGCATTAAATATTGAACAGAGAGAGCTTGACCTTCCAGGGTAGAAAATTAGCTAGTTAACATTGGATACTGAATACACCACAGAGTAAACTGAAATACTTCAAATCATCTCTAGAATGAGGCAAGGCCCAGAGAAATAAAACTCTGAATCAAGAATGAGGTTGGCCGAAGATACCTAGCCATTTATTAGCTCTTTACAACCTCTTTATCACAAGATTAGATTCAGCTACCACAAAGACATAAATAGGTTTTCTGATTAGTACACAGCATGTGGATTAAAGTATAACTTCCAGATACTGAGAATCCAAGGGGTAACAATGCCACGCTTGCTCGTTATTAATACTGCAGTGGGGCAGACGTCAGACACCACTTTACCTTGACCACTTTTATTTCTGTTTCCTATTATTGGAACTCACTTTGAATTGCATTTTGCTGGTGGGTCTGTAGGTACTCTTCAAGTTTCTGAAAATTTTAGTCATTAAAACAAACAAAAACAAACACTGTGGTTCCAGTATAGCTCTAAACTATATTTCTGTACCACAGTGAATTTCAGACAAAATACGACCCCAGGAAATGGGCCTGGAAGTATGAGAGTAGCTAATATAATCAAACATTTATTTTTGCGTAGCCCATTTTAACAATAACAGTAGCCACCATGTATGTACTGGGCAGAATGCTGGGCACTTTACCACAGTTATAGCTGATAACAACAACCTTTCATGGTAGGTATTATTATCCCAGCTTACAGCCAAGAAAGAGACAGAGCTGATATTCAGACCCTGGCTTGCCTGGTTCCAAAGCCTAGGCCCTCAAACAGCCATTCAGACAATGGCACAGTATTTGTTAACTACCTAGTCCTGTTGTTTTTAATAAAATTCCATGATGTGCTTAATCAGGCATTTAAACGTTTGATCTCATTTAAACCTCATTGACATAATATGATACGATAATAAGGGCACTGGTTTGTCTTTTACATAAAGGTAATAATACTGGTTTTTGTTTTTGTTTTTGTTTTTTGTTTTTTGTTTTTTTTCATTTTAGCCACCAGCTAAATACCTCCTTCCAGAGGTGACGGTGCTTGACTATGGAAAGAAATGTGTGGTCATTGATTTAGATGAAACATTGGTGCACAGTTCATTTAAGGTAAATCAACAAAGAAAGCAATCCATGATCTTTGTGATTTGGTCACAGTTGTATTGGAAAGTAAAAATAAAAAAGGACATTTTGTGGTTGTTTGTGTATGACTTCACTGTGCATGAAGAAATCCCAAGAACAGTTGCTTATTAACTCTGGTAAACATTAACTCAAGTAGTTGAATATTACGTAGTTAGTTTGGGGGGAAATGCTGGGCTGCCAGTGTCACTGAGACCTCATTCTTACTTAGGAGATCTGAGTTTTCCAACCCTCCAACCCCTGCAGAAATACTTTTCATCTGGCAAAAGGCACCATGCCCCAGGACACTACTGTGTACTTGTCAAGCTGGTCAGAGTGCTGTATGTTTTATTGGGAGGAGCAGGACAGGTACCATTAAACTGTCAAGCAACCTGCTATCTTGGAAGTTTTCCCAGACCAATTTCTGAAAGATGTCCAGCTCTAAAGAAGACTTCTAGAATGACAGCATCTGGGCACATTCAGCCATTTATTTTGAGCTTTTTTCATGAGAAGAGGTTGCTGGGGGTTTTTTTTGTTTTTTTTTTTACAAGCTTCATAGCTGAATGAGTATCTCCACCTGCATGACTTCCCTCCTAAGGGGGCGGGGCTGCAGTGATGTCACAGGGAGCATCACGCCCCAGCTTCTTTCTGTCCCCTTCCTCACTCCACTCCCTGCCAGAAGGACAGCAAAAATTACACATTCTCAGAGGGCGTCCATGTGGGAATGGCTGTGGCTACACTATTAAGAAGTGACTTTGTGAACCCTCTTTCCATTTTTTGAAATGAAACGAGTTGTTTAAAAGAGGCAGATGATGAAAAGGTTTGGAATAGGGAGCTGGGGGAAAGAAGAAGGGTCCTGGTCCTATTTTCCCTTGGGATATTTCGGGAGATGAAACTGCTCCGCTGTCACTCGCCAGTTAGACCCTGTCCCTCCTTTTAACCCCCAGCCTTCAAATCCCCTTCCTTTGCTGAGAGATGTGAGAGGCACCGTCCATGATGGGGCATGTGTCTCATGTGACCCATAGTCATTCCTTGACCATTGTATTGGGAAGTGAAAGAGCCATCAAACTGACCTGGAGACCTTTCTGTCCAGAACATCCTCCTTGTGCCTGTTTCTCTCTGAACAGAAGCCTTCCTTAACAGGACGATGCCAGACAGCTGTCTGCAAGTTCTTTGGGAGGGGAGGAGGAGCCACACCTCCTCTAGCAGTGGGAAAGTGGCCCCTCTGGCCACTGGGGCCTGGAGGTGTCACCTCCTTCCCCAGCACCCTGAGGGCCCTTCCAGGATTGGTCCCGTGACTGCCATGACCTTGTGTCCCAGCTCAGCTCTGAACAGCATTGGAAGCCTTTTCTCCCCTGTGGGCAAGTTGCTCAGGACTTTTCAGGAGGAAGGCCCTTTGGAGCAGGGGTCATTTGCCATTTCAGCCTACATGGCTTCCTCCCAACGTTGGCCAGACTGCCCGAGGTTTATGGAGGGTTCTTGCCTCCAAAGGCAGGGCCTGCTTGGAGGGCATTACACCACAAGCTGATGTGAACAGCATCTCTTCATCTCTTCCTTCCCTGGCCTGCCTGTGTTTGCAAGCAAAATAATCTTTATGGTGTGGGGTTTTCTTATTTGAGTATACTTCACATACAGAGTTATATTAGTTTCAGGTACCCAACATAATGGTTCAACAGGTCTTACTTCTCCGTGCTCATCAAAATACATGTACTCTTAATCCCTTCATCTGTTTCACCCACCGTCCCCACCTCCCCTCTGACAACCACCTTTATTGTATGGTTTTTAGTGTTCTGAGCATTTCAGAGGCCTCTCCTTGAAAATGTACAACAGTACGACACACAGACTCTTAGACCCAGGTTGAGAACCGTGGCTTGGCATGGCCTCCTTTACAGCAGCACGTGAGAAGAGACTGAGGCTCAGGCTTGCTCTGAACTGGTGAATGGTTTTTCTCTTTTAATGTACTCTTTGGAATATGATTTCACAATCTGCTAATGCCTTGTCAGAGTTTCTTCCTTCAATCTTGTGTTTTTTAGCATGATTTTGTATTTTATAAATTTTTTTAAAGATTCCATTTCTTCACTTGCCAGAGAGAGCACAAGCAGGGGCAGTGGAAGGCAGAGCAGGCAGAGGGAGAAGCAGGCTCCCCGCCGAGCAGGGAGCCCGACGTGGGACTCGATCCCAGGACCCTGGGATCATGACCTGAGCTGAAGGCAGACACCCAACCAACCGAGCCACCCAGGCGCCCCGATTTTGTATTTTAGTTGTAGCATTATAAAATACCAAACTCATCCTTGGCCTTCCAACCACAGGAGTGAATAAATTGTAATCTTAAGCCTCAGGTGCTCTACTGAGTGCTTAGGAATGGTTCTGAGATCTAGAATTTTCTATGTATTTTCAGTTTACTTATCAAAGATGTGTGTGTGTGTGTGTGTACAGTGATGGGCTTAAAGGCAGATCCTGGTAGAGATCCTGACCAGACACTCCGTGCCACACACCCCTCTCTGCACCCCTGCCCAGTGGCTACCACACATGTGCTCTCCTCCCTCTCTCTCCTACTTGTCCCAAGGGGTTTGCATTCTTCTGATTCTCTTGGGCCTGTTCATTTGAGTAGTTGCCACCTAATTGATGGAATTCCATTTAGAACTACATGTAAGCCCAGCATTGACTTACACAAGAACTGCCAAAGAATCATATTTGGATTTTAAGTGTCATTAATATTGTCAAAGAGTTCTTTTAAATATGCCAAAGTTTGTGGATGTGCTGGGCATTATGTTAGAGCAGAGCAGTCTAGGGTGGACTGGCTCTCCCCCACGGCTCAGGGCAGGAGCCGGTGCCGGGCAAGGCTGAAATCACTGATGCTCAGGACCGATGGAGCCATGGGCACTCATCAAACCCATTATTGTAGCTGCAGAAGAGAGGAGAAACCAAGGTCTAGAGGGAAGGAGCCTGCCCAAGGTCATAGCTTGTGGCCTCTGACTTCACCCCACGTGTCTGTGGCCCTGCTTTGTGTCCATGTGCTCAGCATCTCCTGCTGAGCAGCCCATCACAGGGCAGCCTGCATCTGTGGGTCTGGTACAAATCATTCTCCCCCAAGTAGCAGGGTCCTCTAGGACCATCAGGCTCTCACCTCCTCCCCCTGGTGGCCAGCAGTGTTTCTGCATCATCCTGGCAGAGCGCTAGGCAAGAGCTGGGGTTTCTGAGAAGCCCCATTCCCTGGCTAGGCCGCCCTACCCTTTGTAGTTTAGGCCAGGAAGATGATAGAGAGGTTGGACCAAGATGCTGAAAACATAACGAAACTCAGAACAGAAAAAAATGTGCTTTCTTCCTTGTGCTTATTTTAAGGAACCAAAGCATTCTTGAACATCCTTTGCTTGAACTGTTTTTTCCAATAATAAAAACATTGGTCCAGGCAAGTCTTATTCTTACTAAAGTTTCCAATTTTATTTTGTTCTTTCAGATGTAGTAATTATCATTTCTTTTCTCTCTAGCCTATTAGTAATGCTGATTTTATTGTTCCGGTTGAAATCGATGGAACTATACATCAGGTAAGAAATCAAAGCTAAATCTGAGTTGCAAGTAACATTTTTTGGTAATTACATTTCCTTTGAACTTACTTCTAAATTCCCATTTCATCAGTAATTTTATGACTAAATCAAAAAGGAGAAGGTTTTGTAAAATAAATACAATGGTTTTCTGTTTTTTTTTCCACTGAGATGAATTTCTTTTATACTGAGTTTATAAGGGAAACTAAAATCTGTTTGTAGATATTGGATGTGTTTGCAAGTTCAAATAGTTCTTTGATTTGATTCAGACTTTTAGAAGTTTCCATATCCCCCACTGGCCTAGCTTAATGGTCTAATTAACTTCCTCATGTAAGGGCTTTCGGCTACTCTCCTAGCCTCCAACAGGAAAATGCCGCAAGTCACCCACTTATGGGGGAATCTTGGGAAGGGGTGTCCGTTTCCAATGCCAGCCACTCGAGGCTGATCTTGTCACTCCTACACCGTGTTCTCCAGTGAATCTTTAGCAAAATCCCAACCCAAAGGATAAAGAGGGAAGGGTGTGTTTCGGATCAGGAGGCAAATTTGAATATAGATGCCCTAGTTAATTGGCATGCATCTTTGTTCTGATATTTTTTCTCCTTATCTGCATGACGCTTCTCTAGGAATAGCTTCATTTATGAACATATTGGAACATTGTACCTCGGAGGTTGAGGAGCGGGGGAGATTTTGTCAGGCTTTCCACAGGCATGGTCTGACCATCTTCCTCATCAACCCCAGGGTCTTAAAGGGACAGTCTGTGGCCTGGTATGTTTATATCCCAGGAAGGAAAATATCTCTTGGTGCTTGAGCCATTTTAGAAGGATGTCTTTACTTAATGATGCCAGTCGTCTCTTTGGCCCTTGAGTACAGGGTGTCAGAGTTGGTGATGCCTTGGAAATCAGCTGGCCCAGCCACCTCGTTGTCCAGGTAGGGAAACAGAGGCTCAGCCAGAGAAAGGGTTGGTTCAAGGTCATATAATGGGAAGAATTAAAATGAGACTTCCAATCTTTTGCCTCCTGGCCCATGGCTCTTTTCCTGATGCTCTGGTCCCTTCCCTCCCCTGCCAATAGGTCCTGCCAGGAAGCTAGCCCTGAGAAAGGCAGCTTATCCCTAGTGTCTCCACACTTCACGCTTTTAAAAGCCATCAGGGAGCCAAAAGGCAGGCACTTGGGCATTTAACATTTGCAAAAGCATCAGCTGAATTAACTCAGCATCTGAGAAGCAGTTAGGGCTTCATTTATTATCTTGGCTTCTGCTACAAAGTAATGAGACAAAGGAAGGGCTGCCTACTGGCATGGCAAGAATTAGGAGAGAAATTAATTCTTCTTACCTTGAGACTATGAGCATGACCCTCGGGGCCTGACCTGCTATGGCCAGCCCATTCTCAAAGGAGCCACCCCAGCTCCCCCAGCCTCCCTCCAGACTGCACTGTGATTCATATGGTGGTAGATACTCCAGGGCCCCAGGGTTGGGGTCAGAAACTCTCTCTCCTGAGGGAATGAAGCCACAGGCGCCAAGAGGAGGACCAAGGCCCTGGCGAAGGCCGTGGCCTCGTTCAAGTAATCCAGGATAGGCTGTGCAGGTCCCAATGGGCCTATTCTTGGTTACTTGCACGCGGACGCGGGCCTGGACGCCGGCATCCGGGCCCAGGACCTTCCCCCTGCCAGAGGCACCAACAACCAGAGTTCCCAAATCAGTCTCCTGCCCTTTGCGTGTAGGAAAGCTTGCTTTCCAAGCAGTATTCCCAAGGAGACTGAGGACCACAGGCCATACCCATTCCCTGGCATCAAGGAGTCTCATGGACAAAGTGGGGGCCTGGAGCTACTGCAGCCACAAGCCCTGCCCTCACCCCCACCCCAACCTCCCAGCTGCTCACAGCCCTGTTGGCACCCACCCCAGGCCATCCTGCTCTTCTGGCCCCTCACTACACCCTCAGCCACAGACCGTGCTTACCCCACTCGTTTAGTTGGCCCCAAGTTCCCACCAAGTCCTGACTCTGTGCAGAATTGCTCTGCAATGCACAGAATGCATTCTCTGTGCAGTACAGAGCCCCGCCTCCCCTCTGTGACTCCACGGGATAGACCGCCGGCAACATCTGCCATTCACGGCCCCACGCATACTCCCCCCAACCTGCCTTTCACACTTCCCCTTCAGCCACTTCTTCTCCTATCCCCCATCTCCTCCGAAGGGCTGGTCATGAAGGGCTCGGCCATGCTCTGACACCTGGGTATTTTTAGGCCAGGTCTCATGCTCATACCGTTTCCTCTGCCTGGAAGCTTACTTCTCATCCTTATCAGCCTGGTGAACTCCTGTTCATCCTTCAAGGTCCAGGCTGAATGTTACCTTCTGTGATTCGTTCCCCCTGAGAGGAGAGTTAACTGTCCTTAATATATCCCTGTACTACAACTGCCATTATGCATGCTTATCTTGATTTGCTTTTATTTATGTCTGCTCTAGACTGTGAGCTCTTCAAGGGCAAGGCCTGCATTTTGTTCATTTGTGTAACTTCTTCAGGCTGAGCACAGAGCTGGGGCTCAGTGAATATAAGCCGAATTGAATTTTAATAAGTTTGATTTATTTTAGGGAAGTGGCTAATTTCAAATGGAATTTATTCAAGTTTTAATTAGTTCTTCCCTCCTCCCACCTTCCCTATCTTCTGTCACCAGCTTTGCCTTCCCTCCCGTCTCCCTAGTCTCCTCAGATTTGTTCAGGTTCCTCAGTCAGGAGCACAGAGCCCAGCAGCCGCTCTAGGAAAGTCTCCTCTTTGCCCCCTTCTGCTTGGAGGCCTCCCCAATGGCTGACTGGGGGCCTGGGAGTAGGCTGGCTTCATGTCCCCTGACATCTGTACCAAGCCCAAGGAGAGTAACCTTTGTGGTGTTAAGTGGACGGCTTCCCAAGCTGACACGGAAGGCCCTTCTTGCAGCTTTGCTGGGCCCGCCCTCCCACCCCAGGCCTTGCGAGCAGGGAGGTGCTCCAGTCAAGGGTAGAAGGTGGCAGCTGGAGCAATCCCAGAGCTGCCAGGCAATGGGCTGGGCCTGGACCTCCCAAAGGACAGCCCCCAGACCCTGGCCTTTGTCCACATAGGCCCTGACCCAGAACACGTGCCAAGAAAGCACATGTGAGAGAATGAGTCATTTCACACAAACATGGCACAACCCTGCCACTCACTAGTTCTGAAAATCCCTAAGACCTGCAATACCGCGGTCAGCTTCCCTTTCTCCCTTGGGAGGAGGGTCTGCGCCAGACTCAGACCCAGAGCCCAGTCTGAGGAGTGTGTCAGGCCTGAAGTGCCACCTCTGCCTACATAGCCCTCACACAGGTGGGGTGTCCGTGCCACAAATAGAGCTGGGGACAGGAAGCAGTTACCTTTTCAGGAATACTTCCTCCCTGGGTGTTGGCCCTCGGCCACCCCCAGCAGCTGCCACAACTGACCAGCTTGCTGTTTGCTACCGTTGCAGGTGTACGTGCTGAAGCGGCCCCATGTGGATGAGTTCCTCCAGAGGATGGGGCAGCTCTTTGAGTGTGTGCTCTTTACTGCCAGCCTAGCCAAGGTATGTCCTGCCCCCAGCTGGGCACCCCCAGCCACTCCACCACGACCCCCTGTCTTATCAGACAGCCCTCTGTGAAGGTGGGGGAAGCGGTTGCTATGGTGACAGGTTCCCACCCCAGATGGGATGGATGCAGGCCATGTGCGCAGTACCAGCCTGAAAGGCTTCCGGGTTACCATGGTGACAGGGAGCCCTTGGAACAAATGCTCCATGAAGTTGCTGCATGCAGCCGCCTTGAGCTGGATGTCCACAGACCAGGATATCTCGAATGTGTCCAGTGTAACTGAGAAAGGGCATCTGCATCTCCTCTGCTGACTGGCAGCCCACCGCAAGAGGCTCAAGCCTTTGTGTCCTTCATTAGCTTACACAGGTTTGGGGAAGGATGAATGTCCAAGATTCACCCACATGCACAGGCCGGAGGAGGGTTCCGACTGCCCTAGTGAGCCCTGAGATTGGGCAAGTGACTTCACTTCTCTCCACTCCGTGTCTTCTAGAAATTAGGGATAATTCCCTCTACCTCATGGAGTGGATCAAATGAAATAATGCATGTAAAGGGCATAGCTTAGTGCCTGACTCATATGCAGCATGTACTCATGGAGCACCTGCTGCGCTCCATATGCCCCACAGGCTCTGTCACGTGGTAAGTGCTCCTGATGTTCCTTGTTTAGTTATCGTAGTTCTTAATGATGACAAAATAATTCACATGGTTTGGCCTTGTAGCTTGGCATGAATCTTTGACTCAGCATCTATGCTGGCTCTAACCACATAGAGTGGTTTCTTTGCCTTCTCCTACAGTTAAAGGCCCCCCCACCATATGGTTATGTCTGCCCTTTCACAGGTGTGCTGAGCCAAGGGGGGGCGAGAGGGTAGGCCCCCACTCCTCAGAGGAGATCCTTGCCATGACCGTCTCTCAAATCCTGACTCTGATGGTGCCAACACCATCCATTTGTGGGTGGCACCACCAGTGTCTCCATGGGCGACTCCGGGACTCTGAAGTGTCCCCAGAGATGAGCTTTGGGGGGGGCGGGGCAGGTTAGCCATCTGCTCATCTCACATACAGTTCCCCACTGCCCCCAACAATTCCTAGCTCTGGACAGCTCCCTTCTTCTCCTCTGCATGCTGAGGACTCTGACTCCAGGTTCCCAGACATCCCGCTTTGCCAGACTGGGCATTCCTGGTTTGGGTCATGGCTGAGATGAGAGAGAACCCCACCTGCACAACATTCTGCCAGGCTCATTGCCAGGCCTTGAAGCATGAGCTGGTAGAGAGTGAAGCCAAAACCTAGGCCTTACTTTTGCATACTAAAAAGAACGTGGCCTCAGGGAAGACAGTCTTCCCCGTGGGCACTCTTTCCCATGAATGGTACCAAGAGCAATGGTACTGTAGTGGAGATGGCTCTCCCGGCAGTGCTCTGAGGTGCCGAGGAGCCTGAAGTGACAGCTAAAGAAGTAACAAACAGGACGATTGCACCCGCTCAGGGGAGATGGAGAGTTGGTGGGATTGGGGGCTGCTGCGTCGGGGGAAGGTTGGCAGAATCAAAACACTCTTGCTTGGCATTGTCCCCAGCACTCACTTAAGCATCCTTGTGTAGTCTCCCTTCCTGGACTGCTCCCACCTGCGCCTCCATCTGTCTCTGCAACCCTTCTCTCAGTGCCTGCTCCAGCCTGGCTCAGCTGCATCAGCTCCCAGGTGCAGCCTTCCAGCCCTTTCCTCCCTGTGGACAGGTGGGCACTCCCCAGTTTTTGGCTGTGGGCTCAGCTCCCAACCAGCACTGCCACACTGGCCCACCACCCAGGAGCCCACAGGAACCCTCCGCTGACTGTCAGAGCCCTTCCATGTCTGCTTCCTCCTCTTGGTTTCCTTTATTGATGGGTTCACCCAGCAAATATTTACTTAGTGCCTACTGTGTGTGGGGCTCTGTCTTGGGCACTGGGGATGCAACAGAGAACAAAAGAGACAAAGCCCCTGCCCTCATGAAGCTTACATTTCCCACATTCATCTCCAAGGCCTGGAGCCCCCAGACTCAGACATTCCCTTGAAGGATGTATGCCACCACCAGTGTTAACAATTCTGGGGAAATTAATCTCTGTGTCCATCAAGAGTCAGCCCCCTAGCCTCTTTGGGAGGCTCACGTTCTTTTTAGTATGCAAACCCCAGGCAGAGGTTACACAGGTTGGGATCAGGGCAGGTAGTGCCAGTTATACAGAGAGGGGCAGGTGGATTCAAGATACTCTTAAGAGACGGAACTGCCAAGAATTTCTGATGGATTGGTTATGAGAGGGGAAGGAAATGGAAGAATCCAGGGTATCTTACACAAATGGAAAGGAAAATAACCAGGATCCTAAAACACATCCAATTATGTAAATCCCTTTCTAGAAAAGTAATGCGGATCTTGCTGCAGGAGGCCAGGGTTTCTGGGCTCCTTCAGGTGCCTCGCCTTCACTGTGACCTGCTTTTCAGTATGCAGACCCCGTGGCCGACCTGCTGGACCGCTGGGGTGTGTTCCGGGCCCGGCTCTTCAGAGAATCCTGCGTCTTCCATCGTGGGAACTACGTGAAAGACCTGAGTCGCCTGGGCCGGGAGCTGAGCAAAGTGATCATTGTGGACAATTCTCCCGCCTCGTACATCTTCCATCCCGAGAATGCAGTAAGTGGCCCTAGGGGGAGAGAAGGCGAGGCCCCATCCAGTTCCATGTTTGTGCCCTCAAGCACCTGGGCCAGCTTTCTCGGCCTTCCCTGGGTGAAATCCCAGCTCTGCCACTTAGCAGGTGCCTGGCACTGACCAAGTTACTTAACCTCGCTGAGCCTTACTTACCTCGTCCATCAGATGGGGATTCTAGGGACACTGACCCGTAGGGTGGTTGGAGGACCAAGTGTGGCAGAGCGCGAAGAGCTCTAAAACGCTGTCTGCGTTGGGGAAGTGCTCAGTGAGCCCGGATCTTAGCATTTTTCGTACTGTTACTGAGAAGGGTTCCGTCAGTAACCTCCTGGAGCTGGCTTCATGAGTCCTGTAGATTCAAAAGGCTTGGATGACCTCTTCAGCAGAAGTTCTTAACCAAAAATGAATAAGAACACCTCAGTCAAGGCCTTCAGACAAGCCTGCCAGGCTTTTCTGCCTCGTAATGATGTCTTAAAAGACAGGTAGGATGTCTTCCTACATTAAACTCCCTGGAGTGTGGCAGCTCTTAGTGCCTGCTCACTGGGTGCAGCATGACTCTCCGAGCAAGAGAGAGATGCCCTCCCGCTTCCCAGCCTACATTTCCAGGGGGAGAGGGGCCAGCCAGGCCTGCTGGTAACGGCCAAGCCCTCAGCAGTGCCGCCACGCTGGCCCTCAGCTCAAGCAGCCAACCCTGGACAGGAGGCTTCCTCCCCAGCCTGGGCTTCTCAGACACAACAAAAGCTTCCCCAGGGTCCTTTCCTTGAAGCCAGAACTCTGTGGCTCCACTTGTAACAAAAAACTGAGATCGAGCTAGATTCATTTAGTTAGTGCGCAGTGATTACTTGAGTAAACATTCCAAATTTATTATATTTAAACATGTTCGTTTTAGTGAGTTAATCAAATTCAACATAATGCATTTTGTCATTTGTCTCTAACAGATAAGGATTACTTCTTAATATAATCACAATTCCATTATCACATCTGACAACTAACAGTTTCTTAATATTATCTCATACCCTGACTGTGTTCATATTTTCCCCATCATCTCAAAAGGTTGTCCTACATTTGGGTTGTTTGACTCAGAATCAAACAAGGTCCAAGCACTGCTTTGGTTAATAATGTATCTAGTAATTCTTGTATAATCTTAACAATTCTCCCTCCCTTCTCCCTTTTTCTTCCATCCTATTTACTTGTTGAATTCTGGTTATTTGCCTTATAGAAACTTCCTCTCTTCTGGATCTGTCTAGTTGCAGCCTTATGGTAGTGTTTTACTGTGTTTTTCTAACTGCCATATTTCCTTTAAACAAGTAGGTAGATTACTACTTTTCAAATTTTTCAATTTTTTCAAGAATACATCATAGGCTGGGCGCCTGGGTGGCTCAGTTGGTTGGGCATCTGCCTTCGGCTTGGGTCATGATCCCGGAGTCCCGGGATCAAGTCCCATATCAGGCTCCCTGCTCACCGGGGAGTCTGCTTCTCCCTCTGCCCTTCACCCCACTTGGACTCTCTCTCTCTCTCTCAAATAAATAAATTTTTTAAAAATTAAAAAAAAAGAATACATCTTGGTGATATTGTATACTTATGGTATCACATCAAGAGGCATATAATGTCAGGCTGTCCTACTTTTAAGGATTTCACTTTTATTATTATTATATTATTAAGTAGGCTCCATGCCCAATGTAGAGCCCAATGTGAGGCTCAAACCCACAACCCCAAGATCAAGACCTGAGCTGAGATCAAGAGTCGGATGCTTAACCGACTGAGCTGCCCAGGTGCCCCTTTAAAGATTTTAAATTGGTCTTTGGATTCAGGTGTTGTTAGCCTGTTCATCTGTTTTCAAATTCCCCATCATCCTTTCACCTAAAAATGTGAACAGCTGTTGACGATCATTGCCTCCATCAACTATTTCATTAAGAATTACGAAATGGTGATTTCCAAATTCTATCACTCTTTTCACATTTATTGGCTGGAACTCTGTTTTTTGTTTTTTGTTTTTTTTAATCAAACTTGCCCTCATCGACTACTTGATTACCCTAAATTCAGTTTGAATGTTTGAATCAGGAAGTCAGGGTAAAGTCTTGTTTCTTTTTCTTTCATTCTTCAGTCTTCAGAGAAATGAGGTGGTGCTCTAGCAACTTCCAAAAGTAGCCAGTGAATTTGTTTTAGGTATTAATATGAACTCATGGATTTTTTTATTGTTATAATCTAATCCATTTATTATTCTTTTGGACGCTCAAATGTTCACCTTTGGACAGCGGACATCCCTTCGTATAACAATAGTCTTTGAACGCTTCCTGTTTCCTGGTGCAACAAGATGTTCCATGCTCATCTTGTCCATTTCTTGCCTCAGCCCTGGAATCAACCACTTGTCTATGGAGCCTGGTTCCTATTAGTGGAAATGGTATTTAGAGACCACAATTTGGGTGGATTCTCATTGTTACTGAGATATCCTTTGCTTTTAGCCCTTTATACTGGACAGAGCTAAAATATATGTAATTTTTAGAATAAAATTAAATCATAAATTCATATTGATTTTTCCAATTCAATGTTATAACAGTTTTTATTTCATTTCTTTGGTTTTGTTTTTGTATTTGTATCTCCTCTTGTGCTGAAACTCATTTCCTAAATATATTAACATCATTACCTATTTGACTTAGTCTATTGTACATGTTCAATAGTTTCCAAATAGTAGTACTAACATTATTACTACTACTAAGACAATTAAATGCTTGTAGGGTTTTTTGGAGAAATGTACAGGCAGAACACTATGTTTTAAAATCACTTGAAATAATTCTCTGTGGCTATGTCACCAACTTTATATATATTTAGGTTCGTTTTTTATTGCTTTCTTTTCTTAGTTGTTTAATTTTATTGCAATTAGGTAACATATTTCCATGATTCCAACATCAAAACCACCAACAGAGATTGATTTAGAGAAGTCTTGTGTCTATGTCTGCCCTCTCCCTCATTCCTGCCCTTCCCCTAGGAGTAGTCATTTTTGTTGTTGTTGTTAATCCTTACCTTGTTTATATTTTTAAATTATACAATGAATTGTTTTGTTTCTGAGCAGTCTTTAGATTTGTAAAAGGGCCCAAAATACTACTTTTGAACTTCTTTGATTTTCCCCAAACTTTTTTTTTTTAATTTTATTTATTTGTCAGAGAGAGAGAGAGAACACCAAGTAGGCAGAGCAGGCAGACAGAGGGAGAGGGAGGAGCAGAGCAGGGAGCCCGATGCGGGGCTCCATCCCAGGACCCCAGGATCATGACTTGAGCCGAAGGCTAGACGCTTAACCAACTGAGCCACCCAGGCACCCAGCAAATTTTCTTTTTACATCCCTTCTTTTGCACTTCTTTTGCACCACCCATTACCACCCCTCCCCACCCTCTATAACAAAGTGTAAATCCTGTCTGGGCCCATGGCTCAGACTGTCCTGAAATGTTATACTTCTGCTTTTAAGTGATCACTGCTAAGGATGGAGGAAATTCCCCGCTTCCCTTTGCCGTGCAGCATGGCACAGTGACCCCAAGTAGAAGCTTTCCTGTGCCCTGTTCGTGGGCTCCCTGGTGTCAGTGGCTGGCAGGTAGCCTCTGGCTCCAGGTGAGGTGTAAGGAGCTGGTGGGATACAATGGAAAGAGCTTTTGAAACTGGCAAGTAGCAAGGCCAGCTCTCCTATATTCTGCGCCGTGGCCAGCTTTTCTGTGGCAGGAAATCAAAACAGGCAAATGCACGCAAACTGGCATTTAGACTTCACTTAAAAAGCAAATACACTGACTTTGCCTTCCTCTCAAACCAGGTAGCTTTGGATCGATCATAGTTGGGACGGGAGAACACACAAGATGATGGTGATGATGATGACGATGATGATGGTTTTTAGATACCTGTCCTTACCAAAGAAAAGATTTAAAGTGCGGGGGGCCCAGTCAGGCTAGGAGCTGCCCCCAGCGCTGGATGCGGTTCTGCTGCCCCTTCCACACACTGTCTTCCAGGTGCCCGTGCAGTCCTGGTTCGATGACATGACGGACACAGAGCTGCTGGACCTCATCCCCTTCTTTGAGGGCTTGAGCCGGGAGGACGACGTGTACGGCGTGCTGCACAGACTCTGCAGTAGGTAGCGCCGGCCTCTGTCTGCCTCCCGCCCATGCGCCCTGGAGCCTCCAGCCTCGGGGACCCACCTGGCCTCCGCTCCCTGGGAGCAGGAAGTGAGGACACTCCACGCTCCAGGCCACGAGGTCCATGTGGCCATACCTACCTGTTTTCTTTTTTAAGAACAGAAACAACTATTTTAAAATGAACTCTTTTAACAAATTTCCTAAAGGGACATGCATTTTACTGGATTTGCTTTTCTTAAAACATACCAAAAAGAAAAAAAAAAGGAAAAAAAAAAAAGCTTGAAATCTATCAGACTTCCTTTCAACTGTCCCCCTGGCCCTCTCCTCCAAGCAGACAACCTGTCCCTTTCTACCCCAGCTTGGAGCAGCTGACCCAACTCAGAATCTCTTTCCTACAGGATGAAGTGCCTTTTTGAATGTTATTTTAAGCCAAGAGTTAATTTTTCTACACAACATATTTCCAGACATCTTTTAGTCTTTTATTGTCTTAGATTCTCTAAAAAGATGAATATGACAATTTTCTAGAACCCGGGGGGGGTGGGTGGGCGAGGGATGGAGATGAGTCCTACAAGCCTGTCCACCAGCAGGTGTGAGTGCTCAGATGCCCGGTGACACGCCGCAGGGCTGGGCTCCCGCTAGGAGCCTCAGCAACTGTGGCAGCGTCTCCGCTCAGTACGGACCCGGTTTGGAATGTATCTGCAGTTGTGCGGCTCGACACTTTAGGAGACAGTAGATACCTTTATAGTATCACTGTTACTTCGGGTGGTGACAGTCGTGTCCTGTGGTCACACTTTCCCCTGGAAAAGTGGCACCATCACCTCTGCTTTCACACCACTACCATACTTCTGTACGTTTTTCGTTCCGTGGCTGTCGTTCTGGGTAGAGCAGTTCCAGGAAACTCCAAAACCCCCGGATATTTAAAAAAAAAAAAAAAAAAAAGAAGTCTGTGTCTTGATTTTTAAATGTTTCCTTTCCAAAAGCTGGATACACACGGAGCTGTTTGGGAATTTTCTTTGCTGCTCCCGCGCTGCCACCGAATGGATTTGACCAGCGGCTGTTAACACTGTTCCTTGCCACTGTGCCTATGCTCAGAATCTGCTTCCTGCTAAGCTGCAGGCTTGGACAGGGTCAGAAACGTAGGTGTCGTCCCCCCTCGCCCCCACTGCAGACTGCACCAACCGCATCCCTTCCCGGGCACCGGCCGCGGGAGTTCGGGAGGGAACAAAGACACGGGGGCCAGCGCGCCACACAGGCGTGGTGTTCATTCTGAATGGCCCCCAACATCAGCTACTGTGATGAGCCAACCGTTCTCCCCTGAGAACGCACGGCCTCAACCGGCCACCGCATTGATGTGGCCCAAGTCCACTCCTGGTCTTCTCTTTTGAAGCACAGACTATTTTCTGAGCCGGGGTTGGGGAAACCTGTCCAGATGTGGAACTCACCCCCCTGAACCAGGAGAGGCGGGGTGCCTTCCCTGGGCTGGGGCTTCCTTTGCAGCCTTTCCCGGGGAGCTGTTTGAAGCAGTGCCATGTTCCTTGTTTGACAAGACAGTCTATAAAGTATTGCTCTTAACAAATAATTTAAAAGAACCCTTTTGTGTCGGCACCATTGCCTTAGTCCTCTGTGGGGTGGGCCTCCGCCAGAGTTCCGGTGGGAGCGACCGGCACCAAGTCTGAAGATGGGTGTCGAAGTGCAATTTTGTTCTTGCTTTCATTCACAAAATAATCACGTCCTCCCAACAGCACTTTGGGCTGTGGACTGCCATGCATTCAGAAGAGAAGTGTCCAGGGGTAGCCAGGCACCCCAGCATTCTGAGTGTGCAGAACCCAGTGACCCCCATGCCAGTCGCGGTAAAAATCGCCCCATGTTAGGCATTACCACAGAGAACAGCAGTCATGTGGCAGATCTGCACATGCCCTAAACCTTGATTTGGAAAACTAGTCATTAATGACCCGCTGCCTTAAATGTTCTTGAATGTTGCAGTCAGGTGTCTGTCCTGCGTTGAAATCCACACAGAAATCAGTCCTGGGGACAGCCTTCGACCCTCCCTCCTGCCCTCTTGTCTGCCGGAATCACGCGGTCTTCTCCGGAACAGAGGGCAGAGAGGACTGAAATTCTAGAGTATTTCAGGGGAATCGAACCTAGGAAGAGTGTCCCACTTCTGTGAAGACACTAGCAAGCTTGAGCCAGACGCTGCACCTGCTAGTTCCTGAAACTGCGAGCGCCATTGCACGGCTGTTGGGGATGGAGCCCAGTTCCAGCCATCGCAGACACAGACTGTCTCGGGGGGGGGGGCAGGAACCAGCAGCCCCCCCCTCGAGCCTTCTGGACTCTGTGCACCTTAGTTGACCACACTCCAAAATGCCAAAATTTTTATTTTAGCCCTTGATTCTGCTTTATGTACATAATCAGAATATCTATATCTCTATATTTTTAATCATCTACATGTAAATGAAGCAATAGAATGCTAACATAAGGCCAAGAAATGAGATGAATGTTTGGGGTTTATGTTTTTTAAGGTAAATACGGGTATTGTTTTTAATTATTACCTTTTATTAAATTGTGGGCTTTAAAACCTAATGAACCCCATTAGCTATTTCTCTGTGCCATATGCTCCCCATGTTACCAAAATATCCCCCCCCCGACACACACACTCTTTAACCAAAAGAGAAACCCAGCCTCCTGAGTTTCTTGGTCCTTTGCGTACCAGGTTAAAATATAGTCTCCTGGGAAGTATTTTTTATATTAAGATCTGGGACAGGAGATCTTGGGTCATGGACTCGGGCCCCTATGATGTGACAACATCTCTGGCCGGGCCTTGGGTGGCGGCGCCCGGGCCCATCTGAGGTGGTCACTGCTCTGTCTTCCATTGCTCTGGAATCCTATGTGTTGGTCTGTGGCTTCACCCATTAGCTGTTTTTAAACAATGTTATCTGTATCCTAAGGAGGAACACTACTTGTCACCCCCAATGGTTGGTGGGGAAGCTCCTTTGACATCGCAGTTTTGATGAGGTGACTTTGGAGACGTGAAGAGGCCCTGATGACACTGACTTGTCATGGTTGCAGCATTTGAACTTTTGGTTTAAAAAAAGAAATCTGTAAATTTATAACCTGGCAACACTTTACAACCCTATATTTTAAAGACCTCTCTCTAATAAAATCTAGAACCACGCAGCCCTATATGGTCAAACACTCGTGACGTTTGTGCCTCTGCTTTTAAAGGTGCTGTGATGGACAGTTGGCAAACCAGGGTTGTGGGGGGGGTGGCTTGAAGTGCTTGCAGTTACCTGAGCAAAATCTTACTGGCTGCCTCTGTTCCTGTCTCACTGTAAAATTGATGGTGTCTGTTCCTGTCGGTTCTCCAGGGAGCTTCTCTGCAGACTAACACCCCCCTGTCCCCCCACCCCCCGGTAGTGGAGATTCTGGTGCCTGGGTAGTCGTGGATTTCTGTTGGACATTTGAATGTGACAAACAAGCCAGCATTACTTGGGAAATACTACATGTGGAATGTGCACGTTTCCAGGGGCGAGCATTGTCCGCCGGGAGGTTTGCAATGATTTCCTTCCTGCCAAAAATAAACACGTGAAACTGCGCCCTCTTGTGGATGGACTGCTTCTCCAGCGCCCGCGCCTCTTTCCGCTCGCTCTCCGCTCTGTTCTCTCCACCCGCACGGCCTCACGCCGGCGGCGCCTCAGGGCTCCTGGGGCCCCCGCGTCTGCAGAGCTGGGGTGGATGGGAGCAGGGCCGCGGCATCCCAGGAGCCACCGACCTTGACCCCCGGGGACGCTGGAGGACCACCCTGCCCAATGTTAGGCCCTGCAGACAGAAGCGGTGTGGTTCACTCTGCTTACACCGGGATTCCGGCCCCGCCGACGGACTTCCCCATGCAGCCCCCCACCCCACCCCATGGGAGCCACCGGCCCTGTGTGTGGAGTATGGTACCTAAACCTAGAGCCCATGGGCATGCTGGCTGAGATGCTGTGATTACCAGCTGAAGCATGGCAAGGGTTAGAAAGAGTAAAGATAGCCAAGACAGCTTTCTCACAGTGCGACATCCTCCAGGCACTGTCCTCAGCCCAGCCCCTCTGTACATAAAGGTGAGACAGGCAGCAAGCGCCCCTCTGCTAGGGAGTCATGGCAGAGCCTTGGGCCTGGCCACACCACTCTCAGGACTGTTGCTTCATGGCGATCCCTAATTCAGATAACACCAGTGTCAACAATCCCATTAGCCAGGTCTTCTCCCCATTTCATGGATGAGAAACCTGAGGCCAGTGAGACAATTCTTTGCAGTCTCTGTTCTATCACAGGCCTCCACCAGGCACGTATACTCGTCCTGGACAACATACGACTCAGTGTGTGGGTCCGCCCAGGAAACCTACTATCTACCCAGAGACAAAACCCCAAATCCCCCACAGCTAGTCTGTGCCATGCCCCTAGGTTGCCCTCTCCACAGTGGGGCAGCTGCCCAGCCAGAGGAGTCACCCCAGCTTTCCCCCTGGTTCTGGACTCCTAGGCTGTGTTCCCCTCTCTCCGTGTCTCTCCTTGGCTCTGCTCGCCCCCGGCCCTCTTCTTTCCCTCCTTCCGCCCTCTCTGGCATTGCCCCCATACCCACAACTGCTTCACACCTCTGCATACAACCAGACAGACAGACAGCTGAGAACTGTGGCAACTCCTGAAGCTGAGCTGTCTGCATGAACGTAGATCCTCTGAATAGGTGGGAAGGAAGCACAGCATCAAGAGGCCACTTATTTGGGACTTGGCATACTGAGATTTCACCTCCGGATATTTTCTTGTTTGCGCACATATCGTCTGTATTCAGGACCAAAGAATGGACAGGAAGTCAGGGAGGGAAGGGGAGGAGTGGCTGGGGAAAGCCAGCCTGGGAAGATAGTCTGTTGAGCTAATGGATGGGGGGTGCACTGGGGGCTTGTGGCAGAGTCCTCCAAGTAACTGGAATGCTTACATGGCAGATCTGTGCTGGGACTGCCCACGGGTCAACAGGCGACTCAAGGCCCAGAGCCACAATTGGCATGGTCAGCACCTGATCTCCAAGGAGGATTTACTGGACCCTCCAGCACTCAGGAGGAGGATATGTGGGATGGAGGAGGGTATGTGGGCTCCAGTTTTCCTTCCCAAACTTCCATTACAGCGCCATCTCTTAGCTCAGTGATTCTCAGCTGTGACTGCTCATTAGAATCACCTGACGGCTCTTAAAAACATAGATCCCTTAAGTCCACTCCAGACCATTTGAACCCCAAACCCTGAGAGTGGGCGTCACATTTTTACTCAAAGTTTCAGCAAGGGCTGAGAACCCCTGTTCTGACTGGCAGTGGAGGAAAAGAAAGTCCCCAAACTGTTTCAGGCCTGATACCCAGGTATGGCAAAGGGGCTACAGGCAGGGCTTAGGGGAAACGGCATGTATTGCTTTACCTGAAAGACCAACCATACATGTTCATCGCTAAAAAGGTCAGGAAACCCAGAAAATTACAAAGAAAACCCCACACGGTCACTGGGAGCCTTTCCCAAGGCAGGAGCGAGGAGGGGGGCCTAATAGCCACACGCAGCTGACAGTTCCCTGCTTTTACACTGAGGTGGGGAGCAGAGTGGATACCCCCACT